TAATCTATATGAAAATATAGCCTTTTATGCCATTAATAATAAAATATTTCAAAATCATCTATCTCATTTGCAATTTATCCATTGTCATCTAGAAAAACATACACATACATATCTTTCTTCATTATATGATATGGAACTCAATTTCTATAAACATTGGAGTTCATTTATATTATTCAGTAAATTCCACCAAGCCTGGACTGCATAGTACAGTCGCTTAAGAAATATGTTGTCAAGTAACATATAGTAAATTATAGTTTTGGTTTTTAAGGAATATTTATTTTTTCTGGGTTTAATGGTTAACTCTTTTAAAGAAATGGAAACCATTTTAATATACACTATTTTGTGATACTTGATACAAATATATTAAAGTGTTCATGGGAAAATATTGTTTTAAAAAGATTTTAAAATCTGTAATAAGCAGTCAGAATGAACTCTAGTTACAGATATAATATGAGAGAGATTATTATTACTTCATGTAAAATTGGACTTTTGCCTACTTGCTATTTTCCGATATAAGAAAGTCAACATAATCTGAAAGACTATTGTATTCATTACAGGCAAATGAATCATTAATGGTAGGTAATAGTCTAAAATCCATGTATTTTAAAATTAAAAAATCACATCTAAGTGTAAATATTATGTTCTATAATTTAGAAAAGTATTTTCGCACAAGTCATTTACCTACTCACGGTTTAGATTTAACTGTGTGATAAAAATATATTGATTTAACTAAAATAGTTTAGGAGGCTCTGGACTGCAGCTGATATGGTGGGTTTTTTCTCCATTCCTTATATGTTAAACAAGTTGCATGAACAGTTCTGCTTTTCAATTCTGGAAAAATTGCTGCAACACTATATTGGAAAAATAATAATTCTTTTAGGACCAAAACATTACCGTTTGAGAATTTTCAAAATTTGATTTTTAAAAAATGATGTCAGCATTTGTCTGTGTGACCTTATTAGATTATTAATACCTATTATATTATTGTTTATGAGATTACACTCTGGCTCTGATATGCACTTGCTCTATGTCTCCCTTTGCTCATACCAGCCTAAACATGGGATTTTTATAAGGATTAATAATGTTCAAGATGAAACATTTAAAATATTATTAGGGGGAAACATTAAGGGACTTGCTTTGTGCATCAGGTATGCCCCTGAAGACTTGTATATACTTTTTTTTCACGGTACAGCAATAAACTGAAATATACTTTCGTATTTAATTACAATGTGATTTAAAAGATTATTCTCATTAATTTTTTTTTCATTTTGAGACATGGTCTCCTTAGTCAAAATCATGCTTATGAATGCGTCAACCATTTAAAGTCACAATAGAAAATTTTAATTAAAACTTCAGCACCATATACTCAGAAAATAAATTATTGTGATGAATCAGTATTATATATTACCAAAAACATACGTTGCCAATGAGTTAGTTAAGAAAAAGATGTTTCATAGTATAACAGAAACTCTCGAACAACGTTACTCTGTGGGGTTCCCTAAAGATTTTTTTATACCCTTGTCTTTCTTCATTAGTAATGATTGTTCTACTATAATAGATTTGTAATTTATATTAATTTTCACTTAAAGTGATGGTGTGCTGTCTCTATAAATTAGCAACCCCTACTCCACTCCTACCTTCATATCTTACTATTCTTGAGACTATTATAAGAGCAATTATAGGAAGCAATATTTTGATGGTAAAAGGGAAGTAGGACCTAATTAAAACATCAAGAAATACAACAATACAAAACCTGAGGAAGTTTACTCTAGTGTCTTAGTATGAAGGAATTACCCTCCTGTGGTATGCCATGGCATTTTTGTTATGTGTGCTTTATATATAGTTAAAATAGTGTTGTAGGGTAAAGATGCTATCTTCTTTATGCAGATGATAGAATTTCACATGAAAAGTTAATTTTACTCATTTCCATACTTCTGCCTGTCACCTGAAATATGCCTTCCTGAAAGAGGAAAACAGGATTGTTACTTTTATTTTAGCCTTAACAATGGAAGGGATCAAGGTGCTTAAAATACTGGTTTCTGTGTTTGAAGTTGACAGTATATTTTCTGTGATTGCAGAATGTGGCTAGGACTTGGGAAATCCAGGCAATGTACCTAGAAGTTTAACCAGTCCTTTACAAAGAAATTGTAGGAAGCCCTTTAGGTTGGATTTGATTACTCTAATATGATAGTAAATTTTGAGACAGTCTATCTCAAAATTTCAGCCTATCAGCCCTGGAAAAGAGGTAGAGTTCTAAGTTTGTGCCTTGAAAGCTGGACTTCTAAATTTGTGTATTTCCTTTTTTAGTTTTAATATGTGAGAAGCCTTTTTAAAGCCAGGGAAATTAGGCAAAAAAAAAAAAAAAGAAGTAAAGGAATACAAATTAGAAAGCAAAAAATAAAACAATCTCCATTTGCAGATGACATGTTCTTATAAAAAGAAAACTCTGAAATCCACAAAATACCTATTAAATCTAATAAACGAGTTCAGCATAATTGTAGGATGTAAGATCAATATTTAAAAATCAGTTGTATTTCTGTATACTAGGAATGAGCAATCCAAAATGGAAATCAAGAAAACAATTCCATTTATAGTATCAAAAAGAATAAAATGCTGAGGAATAAGTTTAATCAAGGAAGTAAAAGACTTGTATGCTAAGAACTACAAAATATTGCTGAAAGAAATTGAAGAGACCTTAAATAAATGGAAAGATCCCATATGCATATATTGAAACACAATTTTGTTAATATGGTAATATTCCCCAAATTAATTTCATCCCTGTCAAATTATTGGGATCCCTATCAAAATTCCAATTCCTTCTCTTTGGGTAGAAATGGACAAGGTGATCTTAAAACTCCTGTGGAATTCTAAGGGATCTTGAACAACCAAGAACAAAGCTGAACAGCACATACTCTCTGATGTCAAAACTTACCATGTGCTCCAGTAATCCAAAGTGTGGTGCTGACATAAAGATACACATATAGGTTACTGATATCGAATTGAAAGTCCAGAAATAAACCCTCACATCTGCGGTCCGTTGATTTTTGAAGAACACCAATACCATACAAATGCAAAAATAATCTCATCAAGAAATGGTCTTTAGACAGATGGATAGCCACATGTAAATGAATGAAGCTCAACCCCTACTTAACAACATACACAAAATTCAACACAAAATAGATTGAAGACCTAAATGTAAGAGACAAAACTATTAAACTCTTAATATATATGGATGTACATCTTTGTGACCTGGGGCTTTGTACCAGATTTTTAGAAATGGCATCAAAAAAACACAAACAACAAAAGAAAAAGTAGGTAAATGTGACTTAACCAAAATTAAAACTTCTGCGCATCACAGAACACTATCAAAGAAGAAAAAAGACAAATCATTTAATGGAGAAAAGTTTTTCAAATGTTTATATCTGATAGGGAATTTTATCTAAAATATACACACTTCTTACAACTCAATACTAAAAAGACAACCCAATTAAGAAAAGGGCAATAGATTTGTCAGACATTTCTCCAGAGAAGATGTACAAATGGCTAGTAAGCATATGAAAAGATTGTCAACATCATTAGGGAAATGCAAATCAAAATCACTGTAATTTTGATCACCCCTGAATCATCCCACTAGGATGGATATAACAAAAAGACAGACAATAATGTGCATCAGCAAGGATGTGGAGAAATTAGAACCCTTATACAGTGCTGGTAAGAACATGAAATGCTGAAGTCACTTTGGAAAACAATCTAGAAGTTTCTTAAAAAGTTAAGCACAGAATTACTAGATGATCCTGTGATTCCACTCCTAGGAATCTCTCTAGGAGCAATGAAACATACTTGCACACAGTAACTTGTACATGAATGTTCACAGCAGCATTATTCATAATTAACAAAATATGGAAACAACACAAATACTCATTAACCAACAATGTAGCATAATGATGGAATATATTATTCAGCTATAAAAAGGAATGAAGTAGTGACACATGCTACAACATAGATGTACCTGAAAAACATTATGCTAAGTGAGAGAAGCCAGACACAAAAGGCCACGTATTGCATGATTCTACTTACATGAAATATCCAGAACAGGCAAACACGTAGAGATAGAAAGTAAATTAGTGGTTGCCAGGGACCACTGGTAGGAGGTTTGAGGGGAATGGAGAAAGACTAGTAATTGGTACTTTGCTTATTTGGGTGACAAAAATGTTCTAGAATTAAATAGTGGTGATGGTTACACAATGTACTATTTAGTAACACCACTGAATTATACACTTTGAAATGGTTAAAATGGTGAATATTATGTCATGTTAATTTTATCTCAGGGAAAAATTTAAAAATGCTTTCATGAACATCACAATTGAAAAATACTGAAGTACTGTAACAATACTTCACGAACCACACTTTTGGGGATACAACAAAGTACATTCAGCTTTGGCGATAATTTTTGTTAAGATAAATCCAGTAAAAATTTTGTAGATACACATATAATCAGAACGGCCCTTCTGAAATAAACATATTTATTTCTTTTAAAAACAGGACATTTTTATTTATTCCCAAAGTTGTATTTGGGAAAGAAAATTCTAACTCTTAGTATTACATGAAAATAGTTCACTTTCTTTATAAAAGCAGCCTAGAGAACCACAAGAATGTTGGAAGAAACTCTTTCTTTTGGGATCTCACCACTTTGTGGAATTATCACATATGGAAGTAAAATAAAAATTCAAAGATTTAATACATAACTTACAGAGAAAGCAATTCAATGACAAAGTTGAAAGAATATATTTTTCTATATATTCCAATATTATAACTAAAAATTATAGATAAATGCTTCATGTTAAGAATGTTGTGGTTAATAATTAGTATGAATATGTTCTGAAATTAAGTCAATCCTAAAGAAAAGCTGTTTATAAAATACTTGATAAAAATATTCATCTCTATTAACATTACAGCATGGAGGTACATATTACCAAATTAAGAAACTATATAGGGCAGCTTTAAATAATACTCTGAGACTCTTTTTTTCCATCTTCCTTTTTGACCTCTTCTTTTTTGACTACCTCTTTTCCAACTTCAGCCTTGTTTTCATCTTCCTTTCCATCTCCTCTATTTTTCCCATCTCCTTTCCCATTTTGTTCTTTTCTTTCTTCTTCTGCTTTTTCTTCATCTTTGTCGTCTTTTCCATCTTCCTCATTTCCACCTTTGTCCTCTTTTCCATCTTCATCCTCTTTCCCATCTTCATTCTCTTTTCTAGTTTCTCTTTGTTTTTCATCTTCTCCTCTATTTTCTCCATCTTCAGATTCTTTGCCATCTTTTCCTTTCCCCTTGCCATACTCACCCTGTTTTTCACCTCCTTTCTCTTGTTTATCTTCTTCCTCCTTGCTATCTTCTCCTTCCTCTTTTTCATCTTCACCCTGTTTTACATCTCCTTTCTTTTTTTTGTCTTCTTCCTCTTTTCCATTTTCATCCTCTTTTTCATCTTTGTCCTCTTTTCCATCTTCTTTCTCTTCTTGATCTTCTCCATCTCCTTCCTGATCTTCTTTTTCATCTTTTCCTTCTGCTGAAACTGCTTCTTTCTTTTCTGCTCCCTCTTCTTCAACAGCTTCAACTTTTTCTTCTTTTACTTCCTCAAGTTCTTTTTCAGGAGCTGGTGCCTATGTGTATAAAGAGAAAAAAGAAGATTATATTTGTAAATTTAGTTCCTGTAAATATTCAGACAGGATTATATCTATTTTATGGAAAGAATAATAATTCATTTACAAGAAAGTAGTTTTCCTGTGGAAAAGGCCTAAATACCACATCCAAGGAAAACATTCTAAGAAATAGAGTTAATTAAAATATCTCCATACAAGCATGCACACATTCAGGAAAACTTGTTCATATAAATAATTTTCATTAAAAATATGAGGAAATAGAGTAAATACATAAAAATAGCACATATTCTATATCAGCAATCTCAATGAGTACCATGCATATAAATATATCCTTTGAAGAAATATTTTGTTTCTTTAATGGTGAGATTTTTCTTTATGAAAAGTTACTTTAAAAGTTTTTTACCAGATATCATAGGATCACTTACAGACAAGTTTCCCTATATGTACAGGTTTGGTTTCTAGATTTGCCAATATATCTCATTTTCAGTGTTTTACTAGAATATGTAAAAATGTGGTATGTCGGGAAGATGGCAGCATGAGTAGTTCAGAGAAAATCTCCTCCCCAAAACATATATATTTATGAAAATACAAGAAATTCAACTATTCCTAAAAGAGACACCAGTGGATGCAGTACAACAGCCAGGATACATCTACATCTGCAAGAACTCAGCATCACATGAAGGGGGTAAGATACAAGCTGCAGTCAGGCGGGACCTAAATGCCCCAATGCCCCAAAACACAGTGGGAAGAAAGGAGTCAGAATGGGGAGGGAGTGAAAGCCCAGGACTGCTAAACAACCAGCTCTAGTAATCTGCACCTGGAATGCAGACACAAGGTGCATGGGGTGCTGGATATTAGAAAAATGGTAAAACAAAACCTGAGGGCAGGTCCCCACAAACAGCGCCCTTGAGACAAAAGAAAAGCGAGTGTTTTCTGCAAGTCTTAAAGAGACAGGGACCCCATAGCTGGATGAAGTTGTCCCGGCAACTGGGAATACTGGGAAAACTTAGGCACCCTAAATGGAGGCAGTGAAGCTCCGAAGCCCCTCACAGCAATAAGCAGCCTGCCAGTCATTCCTCCAACTGGCGCGGGCCCCGAGACATGGGCCTAGTAGCAGGAGAGTGGCAGTGTGTGCAGGGGACAGCAGCGCTGGAAGGAACCAAGAGCAGATCCATGCACCACAGGAGAGGCTTGTGCTAGCCCGCAGCGGCGTGACGGACAGCCCAGGTGCAGCTCATGCGCACCGGTGGCAGTGAAGCCAGAGCCCGGTAGAAGACTGCGTGGAAGAGACCCGTGCGCACCTGCAGCAGAGCCAGAGGGAGCAGGTGTGCTCACAGCAGCCAACTGGAATTCTAGCCCAGCGTACAGTTGCCCAGGCCATACCCAAAGGCCACTGTTGCCACACAGCTGCCCGGCAGGGTCACCGCTACCATGGAGGAGTGCACCTGCCATGCCTGCCACTCCCCGCAGGGCTCCAAGCTGCTCTGACGGACACTCCACCCACAGCAGCTTAGGGGATTAAACCAGTGGCTGCTCCAGGAGTGCAGGTAACTGTCACAGACAGCAGAGAAGGGCAAGGCATCCAGCAAACAGGAAAGGACTTTCTTCTCCCAGCTGATGCACCCACAAACTGCCTACAGCCTCTGCTATCACCATGAAAAGGCAAAAAATTTAGTGCAGTCCAAGATATTTACACCGGAGAAAGGATCTGCAGAGGCAGACCTAATCAGTCTCCCTGAAAAAGAATTCAAAATAAAAATCATAAACATGCTGACAGAGCTGCAGAGAAATATGCAGGAGCTAAGGGATGAAGTCCAGAGGGAGATTACAGATGTCCGGAGGGAGATTACAGAAGTGAAACAAACTCTGGAAGGATTTATAAGCAGAATGGATAAGATGCAAGAGGCCATTCATGGAATAGAAACCAAAGAACAGGAATGCATAGAACCTGATGCAGAGAGAGATAAAAGGATCTCGATCTCCAGGAATGAAACAGTATTAAGAGGACTGTGTGACTAATTCAAAAGGAACAATATCCGCATTATAGGGGTACCAGAGGAAGAAGAGAGAGAAAAAGGGATAGAAAGTGTCTTTGAAGAAATAATTGTTGAGAACGTCCCCACACTGGGAGAGGAAATAGTTGCTCAGACTATGGAGGCACACAGAACTCCCAAGAGACAGGATCCAAAGAGGACAACACCAAGACACATAATAATTAAAATGGCAAAGATCAAGGACAGGGACAGAGTATTAAAGGCAGCCAGGGAGAGTAAAAAGGTCACCTACAAAGGAAAACCCATCAGGCTATCATCAGACTTCTCAACAGAAACCCTAGAGGCCAGAAGAGAATGGCATGATATATTTAATGCAATGAAACAGAAGGGCCTTGAACCAAGGACGCTGTATCCAGCACGATTATCATTAAAATATGAAGGAGGGATTAAACAATT